GGGTTGGAAGGGAGCTCTGTGTGGGTGGCTGCTGGAACCACTAGCTGCTACAGTCAAGCAGAGGCTTCTCACTTTGCAGAGGCACTTTTGGGAACGAGGGAGCAGATTTAGGAAGGCCACTTAGCCCTGATGAGGCTTAAAATGAGAACCCCTCATTTTTTAGTACAGCAGCTGTTTATTTCCATTCATTATGGCAACTTTAAAAATAGTAATCTGAGTGTGCGTGTTTGTTTTAAGCGCACTATTAATATTCATTTACACTGTCAGTTTTATCTTGGTGGTAGTTTTTCCTCTTCCCCAGAAAAGCTGCATCTGAAAGGCAGCAAGGGGTAAAAACCACCCTGAACTGTTTGGAAAGGCAGGAACTGATATTTAAAAAATTAAGCCGCCACAGGGACTGCTCAGCTTCCGCCCGGCTTTGCAACCGAAATTATAAACATTCATTTGCTGGGGCAAATCAGAGCCTTCTGTCAGTTTTGCTTCCTCTCTCATGATTCAGGCCAGCTGCCTATCTGCAGTTTCAGTTTTAAACTCTGCAGGAACATTAAGGCATTTGACTGTTCGTGTATATCTTTCAAAAGGAAGCTTTTTCAAACTGCGGAACTGCTCAGGGGAGGGAGAAGTTTCTTGATGATGTTACAGGCACTAACCAGTCAGTGCTATGCATCAGACTTGCGCCATCACCACCCCACGGCTGAGCCCTAAAGAAAGAGATACATTTGAATGGAACACAGTGCTGCTGTTTCCAGGGTGGCTCCACCACACACAAAAAAGTTGTGTCTGTGTTCGGTCTCTCTCCACAATCCCGCCCCCTACAGACCTAGGGACAGGGGGAAAAGAAGGCAAGATGCTTTGTTCGTTGCATTTAAGCAAAAGCAGAGTTTTGCCTTGGGAAGCACCTGACGGATTCCTTCCCTACTTTTAGACTTTACTGCTAAGTTTGACAAGCTAAAACTAGACCAGGACACTTTTCTTTTCCTGCTAGTTAAGGAATAGGAGAAAATTTGTGTGTGTGTTGCTTCTGCCTCTGATGGGGAGGGTGGGGCTGGTATTTCCCTGTCAAATCACTAGAAAGGAAAAGATAAACACTATAATATCCGTTCACCTTTCCTTAAGTAATCCAGAAATGAGACAGGCAAGATATCACCTTCTGGGATGGCTCAGTTTGGAGAGCACGAGAATCTTAAACGCAGGGTCGTGGGTTCGAGCCCAACGTTGGGCAAAAGATTCCTGCACTGCAAGGGGTTGGACTAGATGACCCTCGTGGTCCCTTCCATCTCTACAATTCCATGATTCTAAAATAAACAAAAAGAAGAAAAAAGAAGAAAGAAAAAGGAAAAGAAAGAAAAAGGAAAAGAGCAAGAAAAAGCAGACTTCCGTTCAACTTAGTATGGAGTTACATAACCATCTTATAATCTTTGCAGTAGAGTTTACAATTGTATTATACATCGAGGGTGTTAACTATCTTCTGCTGTTATATTATTAATGCCAGTATTATTCTTAACGTAAATTAAAAAATTATTCCATTCATCTTTATGTTTCATGGTGTTATTTTGCCTTATTTTCTGAGTTAATCTCGCTAATTCTATATATTGATATAATTTCACTTGCCATTCTTCAATCGTGGGAATATCAGGAGATTTCCATTTTTGTGCAATTAGGATCCTTGCTGCAGCTGACGCATATTGAAAGAAGGTTCGATCTGGTTTTTTAATTTCCTCATCAATCATACCCAGAAGGAACAATTCCGGTTTTTTGGGGAAGTTATATTTTAAGATTTTTTTCAGTTCATCATAAATCATTCCCCAGAATTCCTTTACTGCCTCACAAGTCCACCACATGTGGAAAAAAGTCCCAATCTTATCTTTACATCTCCAGCAGCAATTATCAACGGTCTTATACATCTTTCCTAACTTTGCTGGAGTCAGGTACCAGCGGTACACCATCTTCTCTAAGTTTTCTCTGAGGGTTGCACACGCCGTGAATTTCATACCCTTCCTCCAAAGTGTTTGCCATTTACTATAATCAATATTATATCCTAGGTCTCTATCCCACTTTACCATCCCGCCCTTCACCAAGTCCTCTCTTGTATCCCATTCCAATAGTTGTTTATATAATTTAGAGAGGTGTTTATCGTTACTCTCTAGGATTTCCACCTGATATCTTGATTTTTTATCCCTCACCCCCTGCGTCTTGTGCTCACCCCACAGTGCATTAATCTGGTGAAAGAGTAGCCATTCTTTTATCTTATCTTTCAGCTCATCATAAGGTTTTATCTTCCAACCCTCTTCTGACTTTGTCAAAAGATCCTCATAGGTCCATCTTTCCTCCGTCATGTTTGGTTTTTTTAATCTGATGATGTCCACTGGGGAGAGCCACCAGGGGGTCCCTTTTTCAATCAATTTTTTGTATCTATTCCACACCGCCTAAAGTGCCATTTCTTATTCAAGGGCAAATTTCACCGGCAGAACTGAACCTGCCTCCGGAATGGGGATTTCCCCCTTCTCCTCCTGTCGACTTCTACATTCACACAACCACCTGGATGACTGTAGCTCTGTGGCTGCGGGCATACAGGCGAAGGGGCGTAGCTCAGCGGTAGAGCATCCGTCTCAGGTTCGATTCCCGGGTAGGGCTAGGAGAGGCTCCCTGCCTCACACCTTGGAGAGCTGCTGCCAGTCCGTGCAGACAGCACTGAGGGAGGTAGAGTAGATGAAAAGCCTGACTTGCCATAAGGCTACCCCTGGCATCTCTAGTCAAGAGGAACAAGCAGGAAGTGGAGACCCAGGAGAGCAGCCACCAGTCAGAGCACGAGGCAAACTGGGTTAGAATGACACATAATTTGACAGGTTCCCATGGCTCCCTGGCAGCTCTCCAAGGACGCAACAGATGCACGCTGCAGTGACAGGCAGAGGTGACTTGCTGTACGCAAAAAACGCACACCAGAACCAACAGGAGGCAATATTAATCCCGGGATTCGTGAACCCACAAGAAAAGCGAGCAAGGAGCATCCAGCCTGCCTCGCTGGAGATCTGCCTTCGGGAAGCAGTTTGGGGTTTGCCGGATAACGTGGCAAGGACCCCCCCCCGCCCGCCCGCGGCTGCAAGGAAACAAGAGTTTAATGTTCCACGAAGAACTTGGGCGTATTATCTATTAACTAGAGGATCAACAGCTTCTCCCTCGGCTCGACCAAAGTCAACAGCTAAGAAGGCGGGGAGGGAGGTGGAAGGAGCGAGGGAGAAGACTCAGGGAAGGGGCTGCGCGCTGGGAAACAGCTGATCCGCCACCCTTTGGCTACGCCCGCTCCCCCTTCCCTTCTCCGGCTCTGGGCAAGAGGGAAGGCACGCTATTTATGGGGGTCACAGAGTGCGCGTTCATCCGGGCAGGGGGTTTGTTGGTTGCAAACACTACTGAGAAGGAACGGAGTGTGTGTGTGCTGTGCAACTTTCCATGCACCCCCTCCCCCGAATTGCAAAGAGGCAGAAAAGAGCTCTCGCCCCCCACTCCCAAATCGGGCTGCCTCCAAGCCTCCCTCCCTCCCTCCCTCTGGCTCTGCAAGAGCAACAACAACAACACCCCCCCCCAAACTCTTGCAACAGGCCAGAAGTTTCAACTTCGACCTGCAGCCGCCGAGCGTTTTGCAAAGCGAGCCTGTCAGGCGGTTGCGCTTGGAGATTCAGCACGCGCGCCGGCAACGGGGAGAGAGAGGGCAGGACCCAGACCCGTGTCAGGATGTGGCCAGGGAAAGAGGAGCCCCCACCTCCCCCTGCACCCCCACCCGGGGTGGGGGAGGGCGCTGTCAGCCTTGCCAAGCGGGCCCGGGATGGGGAGGCTGGGAGGCGCTGCTCCGGCTTGTTTACGCGTCCCCTATCGGGCCACGGGGAGAAGGGAGGGCAGCCGAGGTCGGCCCGGCCGCCGCCCCGAGGCGCCTGCAAACCCGGAGCCGGCGGCCACCCCCTTGCATGCGCGCGCGCGCCTTGCCCACCTCCGTCCGGGGTCCCCGGCGCAAGAGGCGCCTCCGCTGCGGGGCTGCTGACTTGGTGCTGCCGCTGCTCCTGCCGCCGGGCTGCTCTTCAGGTGTGAGGAGGAGGGGAGGGGGGAGGGAGAGGGAAGAGGGAGGGCAGAGGAGTCTGGGAGATGTAGTTTGCCAAGGGGAGGAGCAGCCCCCGAGGAGGATCCCGGGCGCGCCGCCGCCGCCTCGCCTCTCCGCCTGCTCGAGCTGCAAGCAGGCGAGCGCCAAGAAGGCGCAGCGGCGGCTGCTTTGGAGTTGCTCTTGCAGGATCTTTTGCAGATCCAAGATCCCCTCCCGTTGCAAGCCATCCCAGTCTCCGATCGAGGCGAGAGTCCAGGGGATTCAGGCGCTCACGCTCAAGGTCCCCGTTTCTTTTTGGGAATGCGGTCCAGCAGAGACTAGGGTGACTCTATGAGTGGAGATTTCTTCTTCTTGAGAGAAAAGCAATGACAGGCCTAGACAGCATCTTAAAAAGCAGAGACATCACCTGACGACAAAAGTCCGTATAGTTAAAGCTATGGATTTCCCAGTAGTGATGTATGGAAGTGAGAGCTGGACCATAAAGAAGGCTGATCGCCCAAGAATGGATGCTTTTGAATTCTGGTGCTGGAGGAGACTCTTGAGAGTCCCATGGACTGCAAGAAGATCAAACCTCTCCATTCTGACAGAAATCAGCCCTGAGTGCTCACTGGAAGGACAGATCCTGAAGCTGAGGCTCCAAGACTTTGGCCAGTTCATGAGAAGAGAAGACTCCCTGGAAAAGACCCTGATGTTGGGAAAGATGGAGGGCACAAGGAGAAGGGGACGACAGAGGACGAGATGGTGGGACAGTGTTCTCGAAGCTACCAGCATGAGTTTGACCAAACTGCGGGAGGCAGTGGAAGACAGGAGTGCCTGGCGTGCTCTGGTCCACGGGGACATGAAGAGTCGGACACGACTAAACAACAACAACAACAACAAGTGCAAGGCCAAGGAAGGGACAGAGGCGCAGTTAGTCACCAGCGGCAATTTTAATGGCAGCCTGTCTCAACTCTCTACTACCAACACGGTGGATGGGGGAATGATTCCGAAACAAATTCAGGATGAATGATAAAGCTGTCCCTCTGTGCCCCTCCAGCCTTCTTAAAATGGCTTGTATCCCACCTGGCAGGGAGAGAGAAAGAAAAAAGATTTTACACGGAGCAGAATATGACTTTGATTTGCAGACTGCGATTGTCTGCAGTGTGTGTGTCTTTTTGACCTATGGGTCCCATTGCTATTCAGACACAACTCAATGGGCCACTTATGAGATACACAACCCCATACAGCACACCTACAGACCACATGCACACTCACCACATGTAGAATTGTAGAGAAGGGACCCCACGGGTCATCTAGTCCAATCCCCTGCGATGCAGGAAATATGGAGACATATTTCTCTCTCACACTATTTCAGTAAGGGGCCTCCCAAGCTTTCTCTATTGTACTTAGATGGTAGTGATGCACACTTACTTATTTATAAAAATATTTTATAACTAACTTTTAAAAAAACTTTCTTTATTTCCCTGGAGACGCACAAAAATTCATTATGAAAAGCTGTATTCCCATATGTGCACCACAATTTATAACAGTAAACCTCTATAACACACATTAGATGAGCCACAAGTTAGTATAAACCTTTGAAACTGGTCTTTGGTTTTCTGGAGGTTTTGGAAACCCAAAGAAGAGTCCCCCTTCTCCCGCAAAGGTATATTTGTGCTTTGTTCCTCTTGCCAGTCCTCATTTGTGAGTCCATTTTTCCATAAGGGCGATACGCCAAGCATGCTCTCCTGTACCAAGCATTCAAGTTTGCACCATTTAATGTGTAATTTTACTTATATCATTAAACACTTGCCCAAAATGTACTACCTTTGGGCATGTCCACCACAACAGCCCATATAGCTGCCTCTTTCTCCCTTGCGCCAGCACATTGGTGAAGTATTTTTTAATGTATACAGTTTGCAACAGCTTTGGATTACAACCACGTCAAACCTGGAAGTGCATGTCCCCCCCCCTTTTTGGGGGGATTACAACCCATTTTTTTAAAATTACAATCCATTTTTGAGGGGGAAGCCCCATTGGCGAAAGCGCGCCTTGGCTTTGGTTTACAACCGGACCTCCGGAACGGATTATGGTTGTAAACCAAGGTACCACTGTATATGAAAGTTTAACTGAGGTTAAGTACTATTTCTGCGTTGTCTTCAACATTATTTCCTTGATGCTGGCTGAGATAGTAAAAACAACCTAAAGAGCCAATTATGCCCATGACTCATTTCTGAAGGACCACTTTTCCGTCTTCCTTCCTTCCTTCCTTCCTTCCTTCCTTCCTTCCTTCCTTCCTTCCTTCCTTCCTGGCCCTTCTAGACTGTTCCCCTCTCCTTCTGGCACAGGATTCCAGATTCCAGACCGGTGTCAGCACACAAACAGAGCAATTTTGCACGAGACACTCCCTTTCCCCATAAGTAGGACTGATTTGCATCTGTGGGGGTGGAATCTGCGTTCCTCTCGAGTGCAGTTTGAACGTGCTTCTTTTGGCACATTCATTTTTACTTCCATCACTGAATCCAAGCAGGCATGGGGCGGGCGGGGGGGGGGGCGGGGCTGTTAAGGAGACTTTATCTAACCAGGCAATTGCTCACACTTGGACCAGCTCAGCTTTTGCAAAGCTATGACATCACTTTCTTGACGCCCCGCATTTCCACGCCCCTGGAGGTTTGTTATTTTACTGCTACACTTTTGGAAACGCAAATACTGAAATCAGACGTGCACTCAAAACTGCCAACCCAAGCTCAGAATTTACGCCACAATTGCGATCATCTCGCTGAAAGCTCTGCAAGACGTGGAAGGCAAACTGACTAGTACAGGGAAGTCACAGGGCAGAGCTCCAAGAGAGGATGAACAATAAGAAGGGCCTCTCGGAAGTGGGAGCATTATGAGCGCAACCAGGAAAAAGCTTAAGGTGGACCTCGACAAGATATATCTTCCCTCCTCTACCTTTTTCCTTGTGTGCTATGTCTTTGTGAGTGCAACCAAGGAAAAACTTAGGATGGAGACCCACAAGACACAGTACATGTATGCATCTTTCTTCACCTCCCTTTTCCCTTTTTTGCCATGTCTTTTTAGAGTATGAGTTGGAGGAGAAGGACTACTCAGCACTGATTAGTTCTGTAAGCTGCATTGAGAAACGTCTTTGGTTAAACGGGGTTAAAGTGTCAAGATGGCAATGTGAGCAGCAGCCTCTAGCCTTTCTTTTTAATTTTTAACTTTTGTTGCTGGCCTGTTTTATGCTTAAAGGGCAGGTTAGAAGTGCCTTCAGTAAACAAACCATCTATGCATCCTGTGAACTTTAGAACGAATCTTTATCCTAATCAAGGCCTTTATCCTAATCTGGCTTCTCCCGTGAGTGCTGTAACATCGCAGGAATCCAAAACCTGGAAATGTCCAAGGCCTGGGGCTGAGAGATGGTTGCAGTGCCCCTTTGCCCCCCAACTGACTGCTGTTGTGGTCCTGCTGTATCCATATAGGTGTTTTATCTGGAACCACAAAAACACCCCAATTGCCCTGGAGGGAAAAGGAGAGGTGGATATATACCGTATTGGCATGAATATAAGCTGCACCCACAAATAAGCCACACCTTTAAAATTCAAGGGAGAAAAAAAGACAATACCCGAATATAAGCCGCTCCCTTAAAATTGGGTTACAGCAGGCATAGGCAAACTCAGGCCCTACAGATGTTTGGGACTACAATTCCCATCACCCCCGACCACTGGTCCAGTTAGCTAGGGATGATGGGAATTGTAGTCGCAAACATCTGGAGGGCCGGAGTTTGCCTATGCATGGTTTACAGGCTGAAAACCGCTGCGGTTGGTAGAATTGTAACTCTGAGCCTAATTAAGCCTTGGATCTTGCAAGCCCGCAAAGGTTACCGTACAATTGCTAAAATCACAAATTCAGTTGCTTCAATTCCGCAGCCACTCACACCCGTAAATGGCCAGAGAACAGTCTCAAGCTCGCAAACCGGCAATAAAACATTTTTTCAGCAGCAGTATCGTAAAAGCCAATTTTTGTACAGTCACGAATTTAAGCCGCACTTTCACGGTTGGAATTTGGGGGGGGGGGAGTGCAGCTTATATTCAGGCCAATACAGTATATATTTTTTCCCAGGTATTGAGAGACATGCCTGCTCAACACATACCTGTCAAATTGTTCATACTGCCTCCCCATTGCCTTCATGGTGAAGCTCCCAATTAAATGCCCCCAGTGTAGGGATTTCGGAAAGCAAAAAGAGCAGGCTTTATTTGTACTGGCAGAGAGAGGTAGCCTTCAACTGCCTGGCAAACAGAGAAATCCACCTCATTTCCAAGACACAGGCGCACAGAAGCAATCGCTACGGCAGCCTTTGCCAGTCTGGTGCCCTCCAGATGTTTCGGATTACGATTCCCATCAGCCGCAGCCAGCTGGTGGGAGCAAAACATCTGGAAAGCACTAGGCTGCGGGAGGATGGCTTAGTCAGTCCCTGCAGTATATCTTCTGATATTCTTCAGATATACCTTTTAGAGGAGCGTATGGGGTGGGGGGAGGGACGCGAGTGGCGCTGTGGGTTAAATCACAGAGCCTAGGGCTTGCCAATCAGAAGGTCGGCAGTTCGAATCCCTGTGACGGGGTGAGCTCCTGTTGTTCTGTCCCAGCTCTTGCTAACTGAGAAGTTCGAAAGCACACCAGTGCAAGTAGATAAATAGGTACCGCTATAAATTGGCATAGGGCTATCTGAAGAAGCACTGGGCTGCATCAAGAGAACATGATGCTTCCGTAGTGGGATTTGCTATTCTTACATGTTGGGACGCGGGTGGCGCTGTGGGTTAAACCACAGAGCCTAGGGCTCGCCTAGGTCAGCAGTTCGAATCCCCGCGACGGGGTGAGCTCCCGTTGCTCGGTCCCTGCTCCTGCCAACCTAGCAGTTCGAAAGCACGTCAAAGTGCAAGTAGATAAATAGGTACTGCTCCAGCAGGAAGGTAAATGGCATTTCCATGCGCTGCTCTGGTTCGCCAGAAGCGGCTTAGTCATGCTGGCCACATGACCCGGAAGCTGTACGCCGGCTCCCTCAGTCAGTAAAGCGAGATGACTGCCGCAACCCCAGAGTCATCCGTGATTGGACCTAATGGTCAGGGGTCCCTTTACCTTTACCTATGGGGTGGGTGGACACACGTTGTGCTACTTCTGGAATAGTCTGTCCACCTTTGGTCCTCGCCCTGCACTCAGCTCTTACCTGTGGCTCCTAGAAGCTGCCGGCACAAAATAGCGCCCATTTCCTGGGAGCAGCTTTGACTGGCTGGCTAAGCCAGGTGAGGGCAGCCAATGTGCCTCAAGCCCTCATCAGTGAGGGTGAGAAGGGGGTCCTGTCGTCTGGGCAGCCTGGGACCTCCATACACACTGCAGGGCTGATCGAGGGCATCGTAACACCCGGGGCAGGACGTCGCTATGTAGGGCGCACATCTGTGCGGACAGTGCCAGGATCCCTGTCGCCACTCCAGCCGCATGTGGAGGATCATCCGTTCACGGCCGCAGTCGCGAGCAGAGGATCCCGGCACCAGCCGTACGGCACTGGAGCAACGCCGGTGGCAAACCGCTATGTACAGCACATGTGCGTCGTTGTTACGTACAGCACATGCGTGCGACGCCACACATGCGCTGTACATAGCGGTTTGCCGCTGGCGCTGGGATCCTCTGCTCGCCGGCTGCGGGATCCTCCACATGCGGCTGCAGTGGTGCAATGGCTGCTCGCTCCACCGTGAGCCCCTGTGGGGTGTCTTCTTGTCACCCCCCAGACATGGCATCCAGGGCACACTGCCCCCCTGATGCCACTGACGCACTGCCCAAGCTCGCACCCCGAGAAGGTCACTTTGGTGCTGCTGACGCAGCGGTTTGACTTCACCCCTGGAGGCGCACTCCACTGTCTCTCTAGAAAGACGCACTAGAGAGCCAGTGCTGAAAACATTGCCCAGAGGTCCGCTGTGTGACTTTTGAAACCTCCCTTGTGTGACAGCCTCATTTCTCTTGCTGGACCAAGGCAGGGCTGCGCTCATCCCACAGCAGAAGGTAGCACCTGTGTTCCAGTTGTTCCAGTCAACCAAGGTTGATGGCTTAACCCTGTCTCCCTTGGCCTGATCCAACAGTCACTGATCCTATTATCCAGAACCCGCCTCTGGCTTCCTGCTAGAGGAGGTGCAGATTGCAGCCACAGCAAAGGTGGCAATTTTTCGTCTCTCGCCCTGATCTGGCCACAGTGATCCATGCAACGGTCAGCTCCAGGCTTGATTATTGTAACTCGCTCTACGCGGGGCTGCCCTTGAAGCTGACCCAGAAACTCCAGCGGATGCCGAATGCCGCGGCGAGACTCCTTACATTCATCCAGTGCTTTACCAACTGCACTGGCTCCTGGTGGAGTACAAGGTCAGGTTTAAGGTGCTGGTTTTGACCTTTAAAGCCCTATGTGGCCTAGGACCCTTGTACCTACGGGACAGCCTCTCCTGATATGCCCCGCGGAGGACCTTAACATCCACAAATAACAACACTTTGGAGGTCCCGAGCCTCAAGGCTTGGTCCCAACTAGGGCCAGGGCCTTTTCAGCACTGGCCCCGACGTGGTGGAACGCTCTGTCCCAAGAAACCAGGGCCCTGCGGGACTTGACATCTTTCCGCAGGGCCTGCAAGACAGAGCTGTTCCACCAGGCTTTTGGTTTGGACTCGGTCTGACCCTTATGTTTCCCTCCCCTTATGGTCTTGATTTATCGGCTATTTTAAAATGAGGCTGCATTTTAAATTGCATTTTAACCTGTATTTTAAATTGGTCCCCCCCCTTTCCTCCCTATTATGTTTTTACTGTGATTTTACTGGTGTTAGCAGCCCTGAGCCCGGCTCTGGCCGGGGAGGGCGAGGTATAAATAAATTATTATTATTATTATTATTATTATTATTATTATTATTATTATTATTATTAGCTGGTTCGCTGGCAACCAAGCTGTCCTTGGGGGAAATCTGTTCACCAGGGTTGGTCTCCAGGAACAGTCCCCAGGCAACACACATCACTTGTGAGCAACCACACTTCCGCAGCCCAGCTCCTTCCCCTCACCAAACCTGTTTGGGTTCCTTACCTAAGGTTCATATACGGGAAACCAGGCGGCAGGTCGGGCATTCGTGCACAAAGAGTCATCTCGTGGTGGTGGTCGTAGTACGGGAAATTCCTGGAATGGCAGTGGGGGAAAGAGAGAGGTTGCCATTAAAGGGCTGCAGGAGACCTTGGCTGGCGTCTCAGTTGGGGAGGCAGGTGGATCAGAGCTAGAGCCATGGGAAAGAGCTTGGAGGTGAAAAGCAGGACACATGGGAAGACCAAGACCCAACCAGCCCAGTGTTCTGTGCCCGAGAGTGGTCAGCAGCTTCTCACAGCCAGGGCGCAAAGTTGATGACCATTTCCTAATATGTTTTGTGTGTGTGGTTGTTTTTGGTTCCCAGTAGAGGTACTCTGCTTTTGCACATGGAGGTTCCACTTAACTATCATGGTTAATTAACAATCATGGCTAACTGACCCCTCCCTCCCAGGCTGCTGGCCACTTAAGAGACTTAAGTCCTGAAAGACCTACACTGGCTCCCAATACGTTTCCGAGCACAATTCAAAGAGTTGGTGCTGACCTTTAAAGCCCTAAACAGCCTGGGCCCAGTATCCCCGAAGGAGTGTCTCTACCCCCATCGTCCAGCCTGGACACTGAGGTCCAGTGCTGAGGACCTTCTGGCAGTTCCCTCCCTGCGAGAAGTGAGGTTACAGGGAACAAGGCAGAGAGCCTTCTTGGTGGTGGCGCCCGCCCTGTGGAACGCCCTCCCATCAGATGTCAAAGAGATAAACAACTACCTGACATTTAGAAGACATCTGAAGGCAGCCCTGTTCAGGGAAGTTTTTAATGTGTGACATTTTAATGTATTTTTAATCTTTGTTGGAAGCTGCCCAGAGTGGCTGGGGAAACCCAGCCAGATGGGCAGGATACAAATAATAAATTATTATTATTATTATTAGGCAAAGAAGTGGAGGTGAAAGAACTAGGAAGTGGCTGCCGCTATTGGGGTGTCAGAATTGAAATTTAGGAGGATGGAACGGGTCCCGTTCACAACCAGAGGTACCACTGTATTGCCAAAGAGATTGACTGCTGGCATCTTCACCAAACCTCGACCGAGAGAGAGTTTTGAAAACCTTTGAGTCAAAGATGGGACTCCAGGTGCTTTAATAAAACTGTGCATGCAATTGCTATATTTGCCCGAGAAGGGGTTTGTGGGAGATTAGCAGCCAAATCTAACAATACATATTCTTGCCAGTTAGCATGAGGAGGAGTTAAGACCACAGAGCTGTGTTGCTGATAGGAAGACTCAAGCCATAGACATGTAATTGGTAGAGAGGGCTCTGTGTGAGGTCATTTCCCCCTCAGGACAGGAGGGGAAAGGAACATAATAGTATTTCCTGTTCCCCCTCCCTCCCTCTCTTAGACCAGTGCTCGGAGCAGACATATTCAGGGAAGTTTTTAATGTGTGACATTTTAATGTATTTTTAATCTTTGTTGGAAGCCGCCCAGAGTGGCTGGGGAGACCCAGCCAGATGGGCAGGGTACAAATAAATTATTATTATTATTATTATTATTATTATTATTATTATTATTATTAATTTGTCTAACTGCTCCAGCTCACACACATGCATGCCTGAGGCTATTCCTTCTGTAAATGTAAGTATTTTACCCGCATAGTTTTTACTGCTGCGGTTGCTGACAACCAGCGCATGACTATGAGTAAGTAAACCCCATTTTAAACTTACTTCTCAGCCTGCTATCTGATTCTTTGTTAAGCAGGGCAAGAAAAGGGGGAACCACCTTGCTCCACAGTTGGACTTGTTCAAAAGAAGGCTTTGCAGCCTAATTCATACGCTTTTAATTTGCTGCTAAGGATGGGACTTTCAACACAGCCTCGCATTTAAATGCATACAGTAAGCTGATGTTCTGTCTGTTCAACACAAACATGTGGGCACCTAGGGGGGATGAATCACAATTCATTTATCCTCTCCTACCTATTAAAATCCACCCCACATGAGGACACCTTGCAGTGTGCACCCTGTGTGTATGTTCCAATGAGGAGCTTATGGCGGAGTCTGTGATGGCCTGGGACTTGAGCTCGAACTCGGAGCCAGAGGAGTCTCAGTCCGCACCGGATCCTTTCCCTCAGGCGGCAGCTGAACCTAATCTGGGGCCTGATCCTGAAAAGCCTCAGTCTGCACAGGTTCCCCTGCAACAAACCCCACCTGGGCCGAGTCAGGGGTCTGATCCTGCCCTGGCTCCAGATGCGGGGATGACCTCCTTGCCTCCAGCTGGGCCATCACTTCCAGCTGCTCCACTACCGGTTGGGTCAGGGGAGGCTGAGGCAGCCTCTGGGTCTAGTAACCCACCAACGTCTCCTGAGCTGCAGAGACTGAGGTCTGAGAGAGGGAGAGACCTGAGTACTCGCAGGAGGAGTGCTCGCCTCTGGGCAAAACAGGGAGGAGAGTCGCCGGGGGATCAGGACCGGCCGTTACCCCGAAAAAAATAAAAGGCTGTCGGACCCTGCCCCAGGTTGCAGGAGCAACATTGCTGTTTGCCAGATCCTGCCTGTGATCCTGTGCCTGACCTTGCCTGGTTTCCTGCCTTGGCCCTGTCGGACTGACTCCTTGCGGGACCCTTGGATTCGGGACCGGACCTGGACTGTGTTTCATGGGTTACCCCCGGGCCCAGCACAGAGTCTTTTCTATGCCCCCCTTTCCAAGCCCCCCCCCACAAGAGCCCTGAGGGGGAGGAGTTGGGGTGTGGTCTGCAAAACCCTCCGAACCTTACAATCTTCTCAACTAGCTGGCTGATCTGTCGCTCGTTGGTGGGCGCCCCGTCGACGTAGTAGTCCATCCCTCGCAAGCAGTAATGGCGTCCCGTGCAGGGGCTGTAGTAGCCTTGATAAGGCATCCTTCCCGGGATGGTGTAACGGTGCTGTATGGATGGAAGCTGCTTCCGAGACAAGCTGTTCAACATGTTCACCACCACTTCCCGTTCTGAAGAAAATGGGTGGGAAAGAAAGAGAGAGAGGAGAGCTTGTGCCCCTGGAAAACTAGGAGGGAGTTTTATCTGCGAGTGCCTGGAGGCTGTTGGAGGATGGATGGCGGCTAATGGACTGAGGTTGAATCCTGACAAGACAGAAGGACAGTTCTTGGGGGACAGGGGGAGGGTGGGTCTGGGGGACTCCTTGGTCCTGAATGGGATAACTGTGCCCCTGAAGGACCAGGTGCGCAGCCTGGGAGTCATTCTGGACTCACAGCTGTCCACGGAGGCGCAGGTCAGTTCTGTGTCCAGGGCAGCTGTTTACCAGCTTCATCTGGTATGCAGGCTGAGACCCTCCCTGCCCGCGGACTGTCTGGCCAGAGTGGTGCATGCTCTAGTTATCTCCTGCTTGGACTACTGCAATGCGCTCTATGTGGGGCTACCTTTGAAAGGTGACCCGGAAACTACAACTAATCCAGAATGTGGCAGCTAGACTGGTGACTGGGGGCAGCCGCTGAGACCACATAACACCGGTCTTGAAAGACCTCCATTGGCTCCTAAGTACGTTTCTGAGCACAATTCAAAGTGTTGGTGCTGACCTTTAAAGCCCTAAACAGCCTCGGCCCAGTATACCTGAAGGAGTGTCTCCACCCCCATCGTTCAGCTCGGACACTGAGGTCCAGCTCCGAGGGCCTTCTGGCGGTTCCCTCATTGTGAGAAGTGAGGTTACAGGGAACCAGGCAGAGGGCCTTCTCGGTGGTGGCACCCGCCCTGTGGAACGCCCTCCCATCAGATGTCAAAGAGATAAACAACTACCTGACATTTAGAAGACATCTGAAGGCAGCCTTGTTCAGGAAAGTTTCTAATGTGTGACATTTTAATGTATTTTTCATCTTTGTTGGAAGCCGCCCAGAGTGGTTGGGAAAACCCAACCAGGTGTGCGGGGTACAAATAACAAATTATGATGATGATGATGATGACAGAGAAGTGGACACTCGGACGCAGGATGCCAGCCAGCCAGCCAAGTAAACCAGTTGGTTCAGGGCAAGAGAGAAAAGGAAGCCGCTTTTCTTGCAGCGAATAGAATTGCAGAATTGGAAGGGACCCCATGGGCCATCTAGACCAACCCCCCACAATGTAGGAATCACAGCTCAAGTTAAACTAAGGGCATTCAGAATAATTGCTTGTGATGACGATAGCTGCTAGCCAGGTGCCTTTAAAAGGGATTGTTATCCAAGCTGACAGATGACAAAACTCGCCGACGGCTGTTAGGCCAAGACAGTTAAAGTCTCCAGGCTGAGAGGCAGTATACTCTCAAAAGATGAGCTGCTGGTCTTTATGACCCCGCTACCCAAAAGCATCTGATGGCTGGAGAGAGAATGATGGATCAGATGGGTAACTAAGAGACCTGCAGGATGACGTGGAGCAAACTAAGGAAAGGGCCATAGCTCAGGCATATTAGCTCTGTATGCAGAAGGTTGTGGGTTCAATACCCAGCCTTTCTGGGCAGGGCTAGGAAAGACTTCCTGCCTGAAACCCTGGAGAGCCTCTGTCCATCAGTGCAAACAGAGAGCATTGGTTCAGTATAAAGCAGGTTCCTATGTTCCCAAACAGGGACGTGGGTGGCGCTGTGGGTTAAACCACAGAGCCTAGGACTTGCCAATCAGAAAGTCGGCGGTTTGAATCCCCACTACAGGGTGAGCTCCCGTTGCTCGGTCCCTGCTCCTGCCAACCTAGCAGTTCGAAAGCACATCAAAGTACAAGTAGATAAATAGGTACCACTCTGGCGGGAAGGTAAACGGCGTTTCCGTGCGCTGCTCTGGTTCGCCAGAAGTGGCTTAGTCATGCTGGCCACATGACCTGGAAGCTGTACGCCAGCTTCCTCGGCCAATAAGGCGAGATGAGCGCCGCAACCCCAGTCTTGGCCATGACTGGACCCAATGGTCAGGGGTCCCTTTACTTTTACTATGTTCCTAAACCAGGCAGGACGTGCAAGATCGCAGAGGAGTTACCGTAATTGTTGAGACGCTCTGGTTTCGGAGGGTACTGCATGGGCATCCCGCGAAGGATCGACTCTAACCCAGCCTCCTGCAAGGAAAGATTGCAACAGCATGAGCCTATTTCTCTGGGATTTATGCAGGGACACATGCATTTGGCACGATGCAGCGCAGTGCTCAAGTTCGGGACCCCGTGTCCTTCCCGATGCTCTGTGGAGGCGGGAGAACCGAGCCCAAACTGACGAAAGGAATTTCACGAGGAACCGATGTAAGGTTCTACGCTTAGGCCGGAAAAACCAGCTGCACAAATTTAAGCTGGGGGATGCTGTCTGACAGTGGGACAGACTCCTTTAGAAGGTGCTGGGCTCTCCTTCCTTGGAGGTTTTAAAGCCAAGGTTGGGTGGTCATCTGTCATGGATGCTTTAGCGGAGCATTGCAGGAGAGGGGTGGACTAGAGGACCTCTGGGGTACCTTCCAACTCTATAATTCCTCACCACAAGCAACTGCCGCCCAAGGCTGCTGCCCGGCTCTGTCTGATGGTGGAACTGGCTTTGCTTAAGAGTAACCAAACCATTTAACTCCTGTGTTGCAAACAATAGTCAGTAATATCCAAGGCAAGACGATGACCAGATACAATGATACGATATCAATATACACTCTTTATATAACATGAAATATATGAAATCACATAAACAGAAAACTTCTGAATCTCTGGAAGTCGCAAAATATGCACTCTTAATGGATCCTCTAGAAAGCATAAAACCAAATAAACATAAGTCTTATAAGTCTCTGAAAGTCTTTGAAGACTATGCAAGTCTCTGAAAGAAGCAATGGATCAGATTCCTATCTGGTGAAAACAGGCTGTAAGGCTTTGTTTTTGGCGTCCAACGCTGCCAAAGTACGGTAGTTCGCAAACAGACGTTGTGAACAGTGATTCGGATATAGCCACTGTTACGTGGAATTCTTCTTCAGCACAGCAGAAGGATACAGAATTGCTTCATAAACCCATCTATATGGTGAATGGAAAAGTACTGTATTTTTTGCTCCATAAGACGACGTTTTCCCTCCTAAAAGTAAGGGGAAATGTGTGTGTGTCTTATGGAGCGAATGCAGGCGGGAGGCTCTGCTCAGCGCTCCCTTTCACGAGCCACGTGGAGCGTATGTGCGGCTCTTAGGGGCTTTTCCCTGAGGAGGGGAAAAGCTTGAAAGCGCCGCACTTCACACGGCTCGTGAAAGGGAGTGCTGAGCAGAGCCTGGGATGCATACAGGCTCTGCTCAGCGCTCCCTTTAAAGATTTTTTCCCCTTGCATTCCCACTCTAAAAACTAGCTGTGTCTTATGGTCAGGTGAGTCTTATGGAGCGAAAAATACGGTATAACAACAATTGCTATGGAGCAGTAGTCATAAGTCAGTGGTTATAAGACATATTTATTTGGTTTTATGCTTTCTAGAGAATCCATTAAGAGTGCATATTTTGTGACTTCCAGAGTTTCTGTTTATGTGATTGCCTTGGATATTACTTGCTTAAGAGTCGCCTTGCTTAAGAGCAACTTTGCTGCAGCCTGACCCTCTGTTGCTCTGCTACCAGGTGTGCAGGGGCAATTCCTGTCCACAGCAGGAGCCTCCTTTCAGACCTTCACCCCACCCCAGATCTCCATGGAGTCACGAGGCTTACCCGAGGGATCCGTGGAAGGTACGTGGTGTATCGATTCCATGCCGCGCTGTTGTAGGGCCCTGTTCTCCACGTTGCGTACCTGTTGTCACCGATGAAGACCGGGTTGAACCTCTCTGCGATTTAAAAAGGAGACGGGAGAGTTTTGCAACCAGGGTTGAGGATGGAAAGCCCAGAGGCGGCAAAAAAAGAGGAAGGAATGCGCCACGGAAGACCAAAGAATTTGCTATACAAATCTATGGCGCCACTGCGCTGGCCATACCATGAGCAATTCTGGTCGCCTCGCCTAAGAATGGATGCGGTAGAATTGGGAAAGGGTCAGAAAAGGGCCACCAAAATGATCGAGCGGTTTCGGCAACTCTGCTAGGAGGAAATGTCACAGCTTTTGGGACTTCTCTGTTTAGAGAAAAGAGGTGATGTTGTTGTTTAGTCGTTTAGTCGTGTCCGCCTCTTCATGACCCCCTGGACCAGAGCACGCCAGGCATTCCTGTCTTCCACTGCCTCCCGCAGTTTGGTCAAACTCATGCTGGTATCTTCGAGAACACTGTCCAACCATCTCGTCCTCTGTCGTCCCCTTCTCCTTGTGCCCTCCATCTTTCCCAGCATCAGGGTCTTTTCCAGGGAGTCTTCTCTTCTCATGAGGTGGCCAAAGTACTGGAGCCTCAGCTTCAGGATCTGTCCTTCCAGGGAGCACTCAGGGCTGATTTCCTTCAGAATGGATGCGTTTGATCTTCTTGCAGTCCATGGGACTCTCAAGAGTCTCCTCCAGCACCAGAATTCAAAAGCATCAATTCTTCGGTGATCAGCCTTCTTTGTGGTCCAGCTCTCACTTCCATACATCACTACTGGGAAAACCATAGCTTTTACTATACAGACCTTTGTTGGCTAGGGGATGTCTTTACTTTTTAAAATGCTGTCTAGGTGATATGAGCGTGTAAAAATCCTGTATTGCATGGAGAGAGCAGATGGAGAAAAACTTCTCTCTCTCTCACGATGCTGGAACTCAACAGGGACATCCAATGTAGGCGAATGATTTAGGACATGTGAAATTAAGTGCGTAAAAACTGCTGCCTCTCTCAGCAAGTACTTTTTCTTTTTTTAATGCCTCTTATAGAAAATTATGGGACGCAGGTGGTGCTGTGGGTTAAACCTCAGAGCCTAGGACTTGCCGATCAGAAGGTCGGTAGTTCGAATCCCCGCGACGGGGTGAGCTCCCGTTGCTCAGTCCCTGCTCCTGCCAACCTAGCAGTTCTAAAGCACGTCAAAGTGCAAGTAGATAAATAGGTACCACTCCGGTGGGAAGGTAAACGGCGTTTCCGTGTGCTGCTCTGGTTCGCCAGAAGCAGCTTAGTCATGCTGGCCACATGACTCGGAAGCTGTACGCCGGCTCCCTTGGCCAGTAAAGGCAGATGAGTGCCGCAACCCCAGAGTCGGCCATGACTGGACCTAATGGTCAGGGGTCCCTTTACCTTAGCCTATAGAAGATTATGTTCCATCTCTACTGTCAGGGGCAGGAAATGCCTGGGAATAAGAGTCAATGGGGATCACAGGCTGGTTTAACAGCTCTGTCTGGTTCACCAACGATGGCCGTTCCTGGACAGGGATAGCCTGAGAGCACTGTAGTCCATGCCTTCCAAACCTCGAGGCTGGAATACCAATGGGTTCAAGTTACAAGTCAGAATCTCTTTTCTGGTAACTTGTATGCCTAATCAATGCTTGCTTTTAACCTTTTCAAATATGGATTTCAGCTGTACGGTTTTATGCATACATAATCGTAAACTGCTTTGACATTTTTTAAAATGAAATTGTTGTTGTTTAGTTATGTCCAACTCTTCGTGACCCCCTGGACCAGAGCACGCCAGGCACTCCTGTCTTCCACTGCCTCCCACAGTTTGGTCAAACTCATGCTGGTAGCTTCGAGAACACTGTCCCACCATCTCGTCCTCTGTCGTCCCCTTCTCCTTGTGCCCTCCATCTTTCCCAACATCAGGGTCTTTTCCAAGGAGTCTTCTCTTCTCAGGAGGTGGCCAAAGTCTTGGAGCCTCAGCTTCAGGATCTGTCCTTCCAGTGAGCACTCAGGGCTGATTTCCTTCAGAATGGATAGGTTTGATCTTCTCGCAGTCCATGGGACTCTCAAGAGTCTCCTCCAGCACCAGAATTCAAAAGCATACATAAATATTTTTAAATAAGTCATAGAATCATAGAATTGTAGAGCTGGAGGGACCTTTAAAGTCTTCCCAGGTGTCCAAAAGGGTTATTTATGTATGCCATTATGGCGGCCCATGTTTTGTTAGCCCAAAAATGGTCCCAACCAAAGAAGAATGGCAAATTAAACTGATGGAATATGTGTAGCTTGTGGATCTTACAGAATAAGAGAACAAGAAGAACTTTTGTTTAAAGAAGATTGGAAAATGTTTCTTGAATATATGGGGGAGGCAATTGTGTACACTTGAAAACGTCAGCAGCATTAAGATCAATTCAACAGTGTAAATAAGTTTTGATGGAAGTAATAATGGAATACTGAACGGTTTCGTTAATATAAAATATGCAGAGATTTACACTGTGCAAAATGAACCATGGCAAGAGAAGAAGGGGGGTCATTGATATTTTAAGGTTGTTTAAATGTATATTCTAAATTGCAAAACAGAAAATTTAACAAATATATCTATGGAAGCCACCCCTTGTGCACATGTAAGTGAAACATACCTTCCTCCCTGGTCACCCAATATTTGTATGGCCGGTAAGCTGTTGGGTCTATGCAGTTCTTATAGGTGTATTCCTGCACTGCCTTCTTCACCATATTCTCCAGGCGGTTTTGGTCTATCGGGTGGTCGATTCTGGGCACGCTCAAGCCCTACAAGACAGGAAAAAGACTCATGAACCCTCGGGTGCCCCTGTTTGGGGGTGTTGGTGATCTGGTGGCCCTGGGCAACTCGCTTCCTGCAGGGCTGGAGACCTCTCCAGGGGTTGTTGCTGGACTTGCAACCATCCTGGCCCATCAGCCAAGTTGGCTAGGGGCTAATAGGAGCCTGATAACCTTAAGGTCCATGAATAACAATAGTTTATAGGTCCTGGGCCCTAAGGAAGTCAGACTATCCTCCACCAGGGCCAGGGCCTTCTCAGTGGTGGCTCCGAGCTGGTGGAATGCTCTGGCCCTTCAAGATTTAACCTCCTTCCATCGGGCCTGTAAGACAGAGCTATTCCTAATGGCCTTTAATCTGAATTCAGCCTGATCTTCTATTTCCCTTCTCTTCTCTTCCCTCCCCTTCCCCTTTTATGAAGATCACCTGCTCTGAGACCCCATAGCTAATTCTTCCCTGGCCTCCTTGCTGGCCCAAGTAGGAGAAATTCAGCCAGCTAGCCCTGGGGATCATCTAATGCTTATTTGATGGATTTCCCCTAAATTGATTTCTGAACTTTGTATTTTATTGTTATTCATGTTTTATACTGTATTTTATGCTGTTTTTACAATTAAGTGTTTTAAATTTGTTGTTAGCTGCCCTGAGCCTGGTTTTTGAACTGGGAAGGGTGTGGTATAAATAAAAATATTATTATTATTATTATTATTATTATTATTATTATTATTATTATTATTATCATCATCATCATCATCATCATCATCTGGAGAAGACCCCCCCTTTCTACCTTCCATTTCAGAGGTGTTATTTGTGTCAGTGGTTAAAACCAGCACAGTTTCTTTCAAAAGGTTCAGTCTGCCATCTTGATTTGACAGGTACCAAATAACACCTCTTCTTCATTTGCAAGAACTGGATGGTTTAGTGTGGCAGCACCTGCACTTTGGAACTCCCTGCCTCTTGATATCAAGTGGCACTTTCACTATACTCTTTTTGGCGCCTGCGAAAAAACATTATTGTAAGTTGCTTTGGCTACGTTGGGCAAGATAAAGCCACTTAACTGATGTGAATTTTAACCTGTTTTAGTATTTTAATGCTTTGTATTATTTTATTTGTATAGGTTTAGTTGTATATTTTGGGACGCGGGTGGTGCTGTGGGTAAAAGCCTCAGCGCCTAGGGCTTGCCGATCGAAAGGTCGGTGGTTCGAATCCCCGCGGCGGGGTGCGCTCCCGTTGTTCGGTCCCAGCGCCTGCCAACCTAGCAGTTCGAAAGCACCCCCGGGTGCAAGTAGATAAATAGGGACCGCTTACCAGCGGGAAGGTAAACGGCGTTTCCGTGTGCTGCGCTGGCTCGCCAGATGCAGCTTGTCACGCTGGCCACGTGACCCGGAAGTGTCTCCGGACAGCGCTGGCCCCCGGCCTCTTGAGTGAGATGGGCGCACAACCCTAGAGTCTGTCAAGACTGGCCCGTACGGGCAGGGGTACCTTTACCTTTACCTTAGTTGTATATTTTAAACTATTGTATTTTTGTCATGATTTTATTTTTTCCCCTTTTCATAAACTGTTTTGAGGGTTTTTAAAAAGAGAAATAAATAAATGAATAAAATAAGTACGGATCAACAACTTCCTTGGATCCTATACTTTCCCTGCTGTTCTCAAAATCCAGATCTTACAGACTTAACCCTCCCAGCCTTATGTGCTACTGCTCTTAAATTACCATCTACGCTCCATTTCCAAAGGTTTATTTGTGTATTTATTTCTATATATATAACAACCTCAAAGCGTTTATGCAGAAAGATAAAACAATAAGATCATCAGTAAAAAGTACAACCATAATTTAAAACATACAGAAAGTTAAACCCACAATAAAATAAGACTAAAACAAATTAAAACTCAAACAAATTTTCTAAACGTCTCAGCAAGCTTGTCTACATAGACATGTCTTTGTCAGGTGTAGAAAAGAATGCATTGAAGGCGCCTATCTGATATCAAGTGGCAGGGAGTTCCAGTGTGTAAGGAGATGCCACACTAAGCGTTCAAGTGGGGTACTGTTATACAGTGGTTCCGCTCCTTCCTCCTGGGCCGTGTCCAGAAAGTGGGGGTGGGGGATGAGTGTTCAGACCCCTGGGCTCTTACTTGTGGGGTGCCTCAGGGTTCTGTCCTCTCCCCCATGCTTTTCAACATTTACATGCAGCCACTGGGAGAGATCATCAGGAGGTTTGGGCTGGGTGTCCATCAATATGCGGATGATACCCAGCTCTACCTCTCTATCAAATCGGAACCAGTGAAGGTGGTGAAGGTCCTGTGTGAGTGTCTGGAGGCGGTTGGAGGATGGATGGTGGCTAAAAGATTGAGGTTGAATCCTGACAAGCTGGAAGTCCTGTTTTGGGGGGACAGGAGGCGGGCAGGTGTAGACTCCCTGGTCCTGAATGGGGCAACTGTGCCCCTGAAGGACCAGGTACGCAGCCTGGGAGTCATTTTGGACTCACAGCTGTCCATGGAGGTTAATTCTGTGTCCAGGGCAGCTGTTTACCAGCTCCATCTGGTATGCAGGATGAGACCCTGCTTGCCTGCTGACTGTCTCACCAGAGTGGTGCATGCTCTGGTTATCTCCCGCTTGGACTACTGCAATGCGCTCTACGTGGGGCTACCTTTGAAGGTGACTCGGAAACTACAACTAATCCAGAACGCAGCAGCCAGACTGGTGACTGGGAGCGGCTGCCGAGACCACATAACACCGGTCTTGAAATGCCTACATTGGCTCCCAGTACGTTTCTGAGCACATTTCAAAGTGTTGGTGCTGACCTTTAAAGCCCTAAACGGCCTTGGTCCAGAATACCTGAAGGAGCGTCCCCACCTCCATCGTTCAGCCCGGACACTGAGGTCCAGCTCTGAGGGCCTTCTGGTGGTTCCCTCACTGCGAGAAGCCAAGTTACAGGGAACCAGGCAGAGGGCCTTCTTGGTAGTGGCGCCCGCCCTGTGGAATGCCCTCCCACCAGATGTCAAAGGGAAAAACAACTACCAGACTTTTAGGAGACATCTGAAGGTAACCCTGTTTAGGGAAGCTTTTAATGTTTAATAGACTATTATATTTTAACATTTTGTTGGAAGCCGCCCAGAGTGGCTGGGGAAACCCAGCCAGATAAGCGGGGTATAAATAATAAAATAATAATAATTATTATTATTATTATTATTATTATTATTATTATTATTATTAGTATTATTATTAGGCAACTCTAGCAGTGGCAGGTCAGCTGTGTTGGCTATTTGCAGAGTAGTTGCACTGCAGAAGGTGTGCTGGGGAGACCACACATTACAAGGAACGCAAAACAACTTTAGCTAGGTTTTAATAACAAAAACAAAAACTCCTTTTACATTAATTATAATATATCAATATAGGGACACGGGTGGCGCTGTGGGTAAAAGCCTCAGCGCCTAGGGCTTGCCGATCGAAAGGTCGGCGGTTCGAATCCCCGCGCCTGGGTGCGCTCCCGTTGTTCGGTCCCAGCGCCTGCCAACCTAGCAGTTCGAAAGCACCCCTAAGTGCAAGTAGATAAATAGGGACCGCTTACTAGCGGGAAGGTAAACGGCGTTTCCGTGTGCGGCTCTGGCTTGCCAGAGCAGCGATGTCACGCTGGCCACGTGACCCGGAAGTGTCTCCGGACAGCGCTGGCTCCCGGCCTCTAGAGTGAGATGAGCGCACAATCCTAGAGTCTGTCAAGACTGGCCCGTACGGGCAGGGGTACCTTTACCTTTACCTATCAATAAGCATGACCGAACCACCAGGGTATCTGAGAGAGCTAGGTGCTGCTCTTTACATACTATACCCAATTGCTGACACAGCTTAATTAACGCAACTTAACAGCACCTGCTATACTGCTTTCACAGCTGTAAAACTGGGTCACGTTATTTGCTCTGGCCCTTAAAGAAATACACATCTTGTGGAATAGTGAACCTTCAGATTTAAAGAGACCATTCAACAAGCTGATCAAAGTGGTTGAACACATACGGATCTCCTCGGTAAACTGGTCCCAAGTTGTTCTTTAGAAAAGCAACTCTTCTTCGAAAGGTTCCTTTGTGTTCTCACCACACCCCCTCGACTCCGGAAACACGTTGAGATTTACCTTGGACACGAGGTGGCTCATGTCGCCCATACTGAGATTGGGTTCCTTGTAGGAGTTGTCGGTGCGGCATGGCACGCGGTAGGAGTCCCTGTAGGTGCTGATGGGGGTGTCTGTCTTATGCGCAAAGATGAACATCTCGCCACAGGTTGGCCTTCCCTGAAGATTTCCGCCTGGGGACCTAAACTAAACTCTCAGGGTTTTCTAGCAAAAGGGCTTTTCCCTCCCCGTACGCCAAGCTAAACTAAAGGGTCCACTAAACAGCTCTGTGCGAGTTTAAGGTAAGAAAATAGAAAGGGGACGCTTTGCACTCTAGTAACAAACTACAACCTGCTAATGGCTCTCTAAACTCACAGCCTCCCTCCCTGACACTGACCCTGTTTGCATCAGCTGTGATGTCACAGTCAGGGAGGGGGGCATAATAAAAATGGCAGGGGTGTCAGGCGTAGGGACTGTGTCAAAGGGCTCAAGAACAAGGAGAGACTTTCCCCTGGAGTGTAAATGCATAACAAGAACCGCCACCGTCCCCCTGCTTAGATTGGGCCAAGTAGCCACTGAGTCTTGCATCCCAGAACCATCGAATTCTAGGGTCCCCAAGAGGTGCCCAGTCCAACCCCTCTGGCTGTTTTATACGAAATGCTCAGTTAATACAACACACCTTTGCACCTCATTTTCACACAAAGCAGGTCCAACAAGCTGTATCCAGCCTTTCCAGTCCATTTTAGACTTCTGCCAGCTGACTTCATTGCACGTTGTTTATTTATACATAAACCCTGCATGTCGTATGAAAAAGGTCCTACCATGGCTTTCAGATCAATAATGCTAATAAAAAAACACCTTAGGTTTACGATCTAAAAGGCGCGACACAGAAAGAACCA